CCCCCAACTTTTCCCCTCTGCTTTCCCAGGGAGTGGGGGGGGTGAGCCCGGGCCAGCAGCTGCTGCAGGCGGCCCAGCTCCCGTTCCTTGTCCTCGCAGTCCTGCTGCTGCCGCTGCCGCTCCTGCTTCAGGGATGCAATCTGGGCCTCGTAGCTGCTGATGGAGTCTGGAAGCAGAAGGAGGGTCGGTGCATAGCTCGTGTGTGGGCCAGCAGGGGCTCTCGAGGCCCTGATTGTGAAACCACACTGGACTCTGCCAAGATGGACCCGGCACCCACTTAAAGACTCTGCACATCGGGGTCCTCAGTCAGGAAGTAGAGATCCCACTGACAACCCCGTGTGGCTCTGCGGCTGGTGCAGGATTAAATGAGATAACGCATAAAGTGGGCAGCCCCCTCCCTGACATGTAATAAGTGCAAAAGACATGATATCTAGTTCCATGAATATTGCCAGTGACAATAATATCTAATAAGAGTCACACAAATCTACTCTGGACTGTACTGTGCGCTGACTGTGGAAATGGAGAAGTTAATCTAACTCAAAGCCGTCCTCCAGGAGCTTGCAGGCCAGTGAGGCAGGCAGCTATGGGAGGCAACAGGAGACTTAGAGAGGACCATTCCCAGGTCTGCAGATCCCAGGGCAAGGAAAAGGACTAACATGGGCAGAGAAGTGGCAGGTATGGCCAGGACACAGCAGGCACACTGGCAGTCACAGGGAGTGTGCATGAGGAGACAGGCTGTAAACCGTGGAGTGGATGGTTCCCACGGCCTCCAGTGTCACACCAGGCGTGTGGAATTTATCCTCCAGGTCAGGGTGACGTGAAGGTGATGCTGGGTGGAACGTGGACGTTTAATTTTTAGTACAATATAGTCATTTTTAATTTGTGGAGATACGTATTTATCTTAATGGGTACTAACGTTAGACGCAAAGGTTCAGCTGCCAGACTGCCTGGGTTCAAGTCTTCTGCTGCTTTCTAGTTGTGAGACCTTGGGCAAATTATTTAACCTCTCTGGGCCTCAGCGCTTCCTCTGTAAAATGAAGATGGATAATAGTTCTTATCTCGCAGAGTGGGTGATGAAGATTAAATGGCTGTAAAGCATTTATCTCAGTGCCTGGCATATAGCAGGAACTCAATACTGTCACCTATTATTACTTTAGAATAGGCCTAGTTTTTCTTACACGGTTTCCTGTAGTAAGTGTTTGTAAGCTTTTAAAAAGTGGATCTATTTGAACCAGCAGTTGGAGTAATAGCTATGTCGCTGGACTCCCATGTAGTTGACCACGGTTCAAGTCCTGGACCCAGTGGTTTAAACTCACGCCGGGTGCATGTGCGTGCGTGCCCAAGATCCTGAGAGAATGGATTGTGGCATTGCAATCCCCCCTGGAGGGTGACTTCTCGCTTTCTGTCTGTCTCTCTCTGTCTTTCTGGCAAGTGCGCTCAGAAACCTCTCCAAAAACCTCTCCCCCCCAAAAAAAGTGGATCTATTTAAAGAAAAAATATTAAGTAAATAACAGGGTAAGCTGGATGAGGGTACAGCTACTCTACACAGGTATGTGGGTAGGCCTGAAATGAGGGAAACACACCCCAGGGAAAGGCTAGAGCCAGCAGTTGTTACAAATGGAAATGGCTTGGTGGGTGGGGATTTGGGGAAGTTTACTCTGGGAGTCAATGTCAAGGGAGATCTGTGAGAAGGTCGAGGCAACAGTCCAGAGCTGGCAAGAGCCAGCTCTAGGGGAAGGCAGTAGAGGTGGGGAGGGAAGGGGAAAAGCTGACATCTGTTTCAGGAACTCTGATAGAGAAGGGGAGAAAATAGGCAAAGAAGCTAGGGGACTGGGACCAGGGGAGCTGGTGCTTCCCAACAGAGGCTGGAAGTGCAGGGAGGGAAGGAGGTGTGTGTGTGTGCGTGTGTGTGTGTGTGTGTGTGTGTGTGCAGGGAAGATGGAGGGGTGTCTAGGGTAGGAAAGAAATCAGAGGATCAGACTCACAGAGACTAGGCTCAAGCCTTCTACAACCAGAGTGAGCTGAGGCGAAGCTGCTGGCCACGTGGTGGCGCAGCAGTGTGGTTAGACCCACATGGGAAAGCTCCTGGGTTTGCATCCTCAGTTTTGGGCTGACTGGGGGGAATGGAGCTGTGTGGGGACCCTCTGGGAGCACCTGTCTCTGTGGGTTTCTCTCATAGAAGCAATAATGAATCTTGAAAACAAAATGAGACTGGTTCGGGGAACTGAGACTTCTCTTGTTCATCTTCAGGGTTGACCAGTCATCAGCGGGTAACAAGAGATGCCGGGCAAGGGAACAGGTAGAGGTTTGGAGCTAAACTTAGCTGTGACGGACAGAGCTGCTGCTACCACACTAGTGCCTCTATGCAAAACTGAGAAAAGGACACGATTTCTTCGCCGTGGGCCTCCAGTATGATAGCTTGCTGCGCCACCCAGCCACCCGCAGTTCACCTGTATTCCCTGGCCCTCTTGCCATGCACTCCCCGTTATGGGGCTGACGGTGAGTCCGGAGCCCCTGGCTCACCTTTCAGGATGGCCTGCAGCGAGGCCACCTCCTCTTGGCACTGCCGCTGCACTGCAGCCACAGCCTCGGCCTTCGTACTCTCGCTCACCTCCGCCACGGCCTTCATGGTCTCCATCTCTGCCAGGGCTCCGGCCAGCTCAGCACGAAGCCGGCTGAGCTCACCTGACTCAGCCTCAACCTGTGTCCCATCCTGGGGTTGCAGGACCAGCGCTGTGGGAGACAAGGGTCAGCCTCTCTTCTCATCCCTCTGACCCCAACGCCCCAGGTCATCCACCTGTAACCAAGTGCTGCGGCCAGGGTCCACCCTCCTCGCCCATCCCCACCTGGCCCCGCCCTTTCCCCCTCCCTCCTACCTGGCGTAGCCCAGAGCCCTCTCTTCTCGTTCCTCGGTTCACCCACCCGCCCCCTTTCTCCGAC